ATCCACATTTTCAAGTCGAAGCCCAATTTCAGGGCCCAACCGAAAGACAGTTGCGACACCTGCTAATGATCACTTTGCGGGCAGTGGGATCCCACAAGCGATACCCCTTTACTCCATCAGCATACCCCAAGAATTTGCATTTCCTGGATTTTGGATCCAGCTTTGAAATTTCTTGGGCGTTGTACATCACGTACACAATACTTCCAAATACATGGAGGTTTGAATAATCAGCTGGTTTACCAGTCCACATCTCCATTGGTGTCTTCAGCTCTATTGCAGTTGATGGAGCTCGATTCACCAAATAACAGGCGGTATTGACTGCTTCTGCCCAAAATGATTTTTCTAGGCATGCGTCCCTCAACATTGCTCTTGTTCTTTCTAACAAGATTCTGCTCATCCGCTCTGCCACTCCATTTTGTTGAGGAGTGTTCGCCACTGTGAACTGTCTTTTGATGCCTTCTTTCTTACAAAAGTCATCAAATTCTTCGCTTGTGTATTCTCCTCCATTATCTGTTCTGAAACACTTGATCTTATTTCCAGAATCAAGTTCCACCCGCGCTTTGAAGTTTTTGAAAGTTGAAAACACATCTGACTTCTTCTTAATAGGGTACACCCAATATCTCCTAGAGTAGTCATCAGTAAATGAGACAAAATATTTTGCTCCGCCTAGGGATGTAACTGGTGCTTGCCATACGTCAGAGTGAACCAATTATAGAACACTTTTGCCTCTAGAATTTGACGTGTTGAATTTTAACCGGTGCTGCTTACTTGTTATGCAATGCTCACACAAAGTTAGTGATACCTTTGTTAAGCCTGGAAGTAGCTTTTCCTTCACAAGGACTTTCATTCCTTATTCTGACATGTGTCCAAGTTTCTGATGCCATAGCATTGAAGAATCTGAACTACATGAGGCAACAGAGGCTTCTGCTTCTAGCAAAGTCTCTCCCTTCAGCATGTACAAGTTTGCAGTTATCTTTTCGCTTTTCAGCACCACAAGCGCTCCACGGAACACCTTCATGATTCATTTATGTGTTTCAATCTTGCTTGCATTATTATCCAACAATCCGTAGGATAATAAATTTTTCTTCAGGCCTTTCATGTGCCGCACATCTCGAACAACTTTGATTGTTCCATCGTACATCTTCAATTTGATGGTTCCCACTCCAATGATCTCTAAGGCATGATCATTGCAACTATACACAGATCTTCCTGAGACAGGTTCATACTGATGGAACCATTCTCTTCTTGAGGTCATGTGATATGTTGCTCCCGAATCAATGAGCCATATATCTGCAAATCATTTTCTACCTTCCACGGTGGTTGACGCTTCACAGCATAGAGCATCCCCATCATCTGAAGTGTTTGCGGTATTGCCTTATGGATTGGAGTTTTTATTTAGACTCCAACTTCAAGTAACCATTCTTTCCACAGTGGTAGCACTTTAAATTCTTTTTGCTTCTTGACTTCGATCTACCATGTTTGTGACTGCTGCTTTGGCCACGTTCTGTTGATTTCTCTCTCATCGTTGTCAACGCTTCTACTTGTTACAGATTTACTTGTCCGTCTTCCTTGTTCTTGCGCTGATTTTCTTCTTGTAGAACAGCAGCTGCAACGTTATCGAAGACTAGACTAGTGACATTACTGTTTGTCAAGTTGATGATGAGTTGATCGTACGAATCCGGTAGACTTTGAAGTAGAAGTTCAACACGTTCTTGTTCTCCTATTTTACAGCTTAAGGATGTAAGCTGAGAAAATAAGGTGTTCAGTGTATTTAAGTGCTCCGTCACTGAAGTAGATTCTGGCATACGGAGAGTGTACAATTTCCTCTTAAGGAAAATTTTATTGTGCAGCGATGTGGCCTCGTACAATTTGGTGAGATGATCTCATATCTCCTTAGTTGTCTTCTTCTCCTCGATGCTTGACAATACTTCATCTGCTAATGCTAGATGAAAGTTTGCCATAGCATTCCCGTCCATCTCGTTCCATTTGATGTCATCTGCGAAATCCACCGGCCTTTTATTGATAGCCGCTAGACACGCGTCTTTCCTGAGGAAGGCCTTCATCTTCAATTTCCACAATGAGAAATTTCTCCCATTGAACTTTTCAATGTCAAATTTTGTTGCCATAGCTTCTATTATTGATAGCTCTCACTATTTCACTATTGTGAATAGTTCTTTAGAACCTCAAAAAATGGGTAATACCTTCTTATTTTCTTATGTTGGAGGATCCACCTTTTGGTGGCAACCACAAAGACAATAAGCAGATATTACACACTCAAATCTGGCCCGGATACCAATTGTTGCGGAAGACGGCTATCGGATAGAGCAAAATCGCAACTGATAATTTGAGAAAATAAAAATGAAGATAAAAGAGACACAAAATTTACGTGGAAAACCCCTAAATAATATAGGGTAAAAACCACGGGCAACGGTAGAAGAATTTCACTATGAGAAAATATGAATTACAACCTCTCTCGATCTACCAAGGAGAAAACAATGATAATTCTCTCTTGATAAAAAGGAGAAAACAACTCTCAAGAAACTCTCTAAATTCTCTAGTATTGGAAGAAAATTAGAATGCTTTGGGATGGTTTTGAAGCTAAATGAACTAGGGTATTTATAGTTGAAACCGAAGAACTAATCTTATAAATATCTTAAAGTACAATGATTAAATGTTGTAATTATCCCTTGCATAATCCAACAAAAAATAATAATTAAAAACAAAAGCAACCGCCGGCTGCTATCACTATTATTTTCAACACAAAGATCGTAGCTCTCCTGGGAATATTAAATTAAGGTTCCAACACGCGCACCATCTTATCCACATATTCCATATTACTTTACACTTCCAAAACAAATGGGCGACTGTTTCTGGTTCTTCTCTTCAGAAAATATAAAGATTAGATGCAACTTGGACACCTCTCTTTTCTAGCTCCACAAGGGTAGGAATTCGCCAAAGCACCGCCCTCCAAACAAAAGCTTGAACCTTCGATGGAACGAACTTCACCCAAACGAGCTTCCAGATACTATCTATGTCTCCCCCATTATTGGTTAAATTTAAGCAAAAAATCCTTAGGAGAGTAAATACCCCTTCGATTCCCACCCCATCGAACGTTGTCCCTCTCTCCAGGATTCAATACCGCTCTGTTTAAAATGCCCATGAATTCATCCCAAATAGGTAACTCCCATTCAAATAACGGCCTTCTAACCTCAATATTCCACTCCCAATTATCATTTGTCCAGAATCCAAACTCAGATACTTTTCCCTCCTTGATGGCCACCCCGAAAATCCTCGAAAATGTCTTTTTTAGCGACCAGACTCCGTCCAATGATCCTCCCAGAACTCAATCATATTACCATTTCCCACACAGCATTTCAGGCTTCTAATGAACACATCCTCCTCCTTAGATAGAGGCGCTACAATATTTTTCCATGTTCCCGAATAGAACCTTGAAGGGGAACCAGCAGGAAGCAAGGCAAGCGGGTCGATTCATACTTCTCGGAAACCACTCTTCTCCAGAGGCTTGCCGGTTCTTGCCCAAACCTCCAGATCCACTTATTTAAAAATGCACGATTCCTCACACGCAAGTCTGCCTAGCTCCAACTCTCTCCACTATAGGCTCCCAAAGAGCTGCTGAATTTCTCGAGAAACCCAACGGCAATCCTAGGTACATCGATGGGAAATTGTCTTTCTCACACTTAATACGCTCCGCCCATGCGGTCACACGACTATCATCGACATTGACCCCAAAAATCTTGGATTTGCTCATATTCAGGCTTAAACCGGATGCAACTTCAAAAATACGCAGAATACCTTTAGTATTAATTATGGACTCCTCACTCGCCTCCAATAACATGATGAGATAATCGGCAAAGTGGACATGGGATACGATTAACCCATCCATCCCTACCGGAAACCCTTTGATCAAATCCAGCTCGACTGCTTTCCTAAACATACTACTCATCGCTTCTCCAATAATGTTAAACAGGAACAGGGATAGCGGACATCCCTGGCGCAACCCTTTTTTATATGAATTTTACTCGAGGGATATACGTTTACCAGCACGGATATGGATGCTGTAGACATGCACATGGACACTCATTTACGTTATTTTCTACCAAATCCCATATTTTGTATAACCAAATCCAAAAAAATGACAATCCACCGAGTCATAAGTTTTCCGAAAGTCGGCTTTGAACACGATTGCTTCCCTTTTTCTTCTTTTCAGATCATCAATCACATCATTCGCAATAAATGAACAATCCGTTATTTGTTTCACATTGATAAAAGCGAATTGTGATTCACCCACAACTCCTTCATGCACCTAGCTAACCTCTTAGCCAAGCAACTTTTATTTGGATACCCCGTCCAAGTAAAAGTTAGTTGTATCATAATTGTGCCAACAGCCAACCTCTCTTTTAAACCAAATATGAAATGAAATCCTCGTAACACACAAATTAACTAATGCCCAAAATTATAAAACCATTAATTTCTACTATTTATAAAACCATTAATTTCTTCTATTGCATTAGTTAAACTATTTCAATTATTAAAGAAATGATTAATATCTCTAGAGATCCTAGTTTTGAGCACGACGTTCACAGAATATTTGAGTATTCAGTATCAAATAATTGAGTGTCTTTTAAACAAACATTAAATTATAAGTGCCCATGTTTTAAAAATAATAATAATAATTTCCACTCTTGAAAGTAAATCATACGGCGAGAGAGAAGGGACCCAAAAACTCCCAAGTGCTAGATATTGGACCCTTTGACGTTAAAAAGTGCCTCTTTTCAAGCCCATCAACGCCCCACCGGCCTCACTTTCAGATTTCATTGTCAAATATATAATAGAATTCCAGTGAAGTGAACGACAAGTAAAAGCTCCCTTCCCACCCTATATCCCTTTGCTCCATTTCAACATTTAGCCACTTGAAACTCGAAACCAACCTCCCTAAATACATAACAGGCTTCTTTCCTCACTCTTTTGACAACTATGACATGACAGAAGGCGAAGGTGGAGTTGTGATGATCAAGCGGGCGGAGATCGATACCAGGGCGCCATTCAGTTCGGTGAAAGAGGCGGTCGCCTTGTTCGGGGAGAAAGTTTTAGCCGGTGAGCTTTATGCCAACAGACTCAAGGAGGTAATTAATTCGACTTGTTTCTTTTCTCCTTTTCGTCATTGTAGATAGCCATGCATGTGTACTTTCTCCATCACTCTAGATGTTCATTTACTGTAAAAATATAACATGTCATGCCTATCGGTTTCATCAATGATCCATATGGTAAATCAAGCATATGGTTCCATCACCCTTCTAAAATGTCCGAGAATATTTTCAAAACTTTAGAAAGGGAGGATTGTCCATCAAGGAAGCAAGCATATATTCTGTCACAGTCAGTTTCCTTGTAAACTAATCCACTGGAATATTGTAAACTTTATATGATACCTTTGGTAATGTTATAATCTAAAGTCACCAGTTTACCAAGTTAATTTCCGACAGATGTATGGTGAAGCAAGTGGAAATGGTTCATCCAGGCTGGGAACCATGACGGCTGAGCTGGAAGAGACAAAACATAATCTTGAAAAAGCCATAGAGGAGAGTATGACAATGGCGAATTGTCTGTCTTCGCTTAAAGAGGAGCTAGATAGAACAAAGAGAGAACTGCAGAAAATGAAGGAACGAGACCCAGACCAAGTGAAGAAAACACAAACATGTAATGAACAAGGAACAGAGTTCCAAAAGAAGAGATACGTGACATTTGCAAATCCACCTTCTTTGGCTCAAGTTATTATTCCACCAGGTTTGGAGAAACTCGAGAGGCACCCTTCACTAAGAAAGAAGAAGGAGAAGCCATTCATTCCCCTGATTGGAGGGTTATTCTCCAGGAAAAAAAGAAACCCAGAAATTGCATCACCATGAAGTCCCTCAATCACTCCATAGTTCCAACAATAATTATCAACTGAACCCTTTTTCTTTTCTTTTCTTAAGTTCCATAGTTTTCCTTCTTTATACACTTGTAAGTTGTAGCAGGGTAAGTCATAAGCAGAATGAGACAGTTTTATAAGAGAGCTATGTAATAAAGTTCACAGTTGGATTTGACTTTTTAAAATTTCTTTAGCTTTTACCTTCTCTGGAATGTTACCAATGGTGGTGACTTGTAATCTCCCATACTGCCCCAATCTGAGTCATAAATGTAAAATTTCAAACATAGATTGAAAAGAAAAGGAGGGAAACAAGAACGGAACCAGAAATTTATTAAATGGGTTAAAATATTTTTTATTTCCTAAATATATATATTTTTTAAATGAAGAGGATTCGATAAAACTTATTTTATTTATTTCCTAAAGATAAGGCTCTTGCTGGTCCCAGTTTAGTTCCGCCCATGGAGAGAAACCCTTTGTAATGCTTAAATAGGTTGATCAACATTACAATCAGTTATATTCTTGACGAGTCTCTATAATATTCGATTTGAATTATTCAATTAATAGACCAGTGATTAAATGAGAAAAAAACATTACGATCTACTATGGCATGTGTTTGGTTCGGAAAGAGGGAGGGCTATCAAATATCTGGCTTTTGTAGCTATCAAAGCTTAAATGGTCCAACTTCAATTTGCTTTTTGATACTTTAGTTATGAGAGACAGACACCAACCCCCTAGTAATGAAATAAACGTCAGCAACCCCTCTTTCATGCTTTACCATTTTCATTTCCTCACTCATTTACATAACCTGTTTCATTTACTTGGCTAAAAATCACTATGACAAATAAGAAATGGCAAATGATGTTACCAAGTTTGCTGGAGCCTTAAGCAGCCCAATTGACCCACTAAATACTTGGATCCTAGACGTGTTTGAAGTCTTTTAGCCTAGAACCATCAATAGGATAAATTGGATTGATTTTAAGTTAGGTCATTTTCGATTTTAGAATAAAAATTATTTTTATATTCAAGTAAAATTAAAATTTAAAACATTTTTAAGATTTGAGATTTTGGTTTTAGAGACATGTTAAAAGATTTAAGATCATTCTAAATTCTGATAACTTTGAAATCTTACAGATTCGAATTATTTTAAATTTAAATAATTTTAAGTACTTCGAGTTTAGATTAGGGATGAGTATAAGTTAGGTTTTCGGTTAACTCGACCTGACTAAAAAATATACACCATTCACCTCAAACTCAACCAATCATATTTAGCATGATTTCACTAGACCTCAAACCCGATGTGTCTTTTAAGTTAAAATCCGAACTCGACCTGACTCGATTAGACATGACATAAATATATTTATAAAAAAATTCTTAATTTTATTCAAAAAATACAAATCTAATTGAAAAAATAATATAAAGAGATATATTATTTCAATTATCCCTAAAATATATAAACTATAATTACATTATTTTCTAGTCATGTCGGATTAAATATTTTTAACCCTAAACTCGAACCCAATTTAAACATGATTTTTTTTTAAAATGACTCAATAGAGTCAAATCAAATAGGAAACAATCGAGTTCGGGTCCCATGTCCATCCCTAATTTTGACCACTTGAAATTTAAATAGGATGAAGATGTATTGTTATCTTTGTAGACGCCATTGATCTCTTATATTGGAACTGTCGAGGGTTAGGTAATCCTCGTCAGGCTCTCGGGCGCTTGTCGCTTAACGTTCTCCTAGTATTTTTTTTGGTGAGAGATTAGAGTAAGGCAAAATCAGAGAGAAGCTCTTAGGAATAAATTAGGAATGACTAGGTGTTTCACTGAGGATCGTAGTGATAATTGTACCGGTCTTATGCTGCTTTGGAATAATAATATTGATGTTGATCTTTTGTCCTACTTCCCACGTCACATTGATGTTATTGTGAAAATTAATACCAACAATTCCATTTTACTGGCATTTATGGGCACTATAACGCAAAATTTAAACATGAGACATGAAGTTGTCTTGATTTGATGAAACGAGCTTCTAATTAGCCCTAGTTGATTGGAGGTGATTTTAATGAAATATTGACCGAATCGAAAAAGGTTTGGTGGTCGACAAAAACCTCTTGTTCAAATTGGACGAATTTCGAACTACTCTAGATCGTAATAATCTTTTTGATTGTAAACAAGTGAGGGGTGGTTCTCTTGGTTTTCTGGCAGCTATAACAACACTATTATCGTGGAGAGGTTAGACAGATTTGTGGCATCATCAAATTGGCTAATCGCTCACTCCCAATTTCGTGTCTCAACGGAGTATTTCGACTATTCGAATCACTTTTTTTTAGTTATGAATACGGTAGGTCATCAAAGTGCTATGTGGCATGGTCAATGTGATGATCTTTTTCAATACGAGGACTGATACTCTAATTAGAAAGAGTTCTATTTACGAGTTCTATCTGCTTGGAAATTTACCAATTTTTCTGCTCTTGATAAAATTGAGGCGATTGGGGTTTCACTCAAGGACTGATAGCTTAATCATCTATCCTCTAATCACAAGAGGATTGCAAAACTTCATAAATATATAAATGATGGCTTACATATGAATTTGCGTTTGGTTAATTTGACACGATTCCTCAATGCCAAAAAGGAACTGTAAATTCTTCTTGATAAAGAAGATAAGTATTGGTTCCAACGCTCAAAGGTCAATTGGTTAGCCTATGGTGAAATACGACATTCTTTCATGCTCATTCAAGTCAAGGTCAAAAGAAGAGTAGACTTCACGACATATACGACGTATACGAGTGCTGGACTGAAAATCACGATGAGATGGAGGACATTGTTGTTAGTAATTTTAAGGATTTGTTTACATCCTCACAAGTGATTCTGAATGCTACTATCTTAGATGCCATTGAGACTGTAATCACTTCTTTCACGATGATGTCATATGACTTTGCATGGATCTTCTTTATAGGCACCAGGACACGGTTAAGGTAAACAAGACTATTATTGTTCTAATACCTAAAATTGAAGACCCAAAGTACATGAAACAGATGAGACCTATCAGTTTATGTACAATGATTTATAAAGGTGTTTCTAAAGTTTGGTAAATAGATTGAAGCCAGTGATGGCTCGATGCGTTAATGACAACTAGGCAGCCTTTCTTTCTGGTCGTCAAATCTCTGATAACATTCTAGTACCTCATGAACTTTTACATTATAAAAACTCGTCTAGGAACGATATTAATAAGGATGCGACCCTTAAATTGGACATCGAGAAGGCTTATGATATAGTCAAATGAGCTTTCTTTTGGAGTGTTATGATTAAGTTTGGCTTCAGTCCTGTCTTTGTTGATCTAATTATGACGTGTGTCATGTTTGTTTCCTTCGTTGCCCGTGTTAATGGATCTTTGACACGGGACTTTACCTTTAGTAGGAGTCTTCGATTGGGAAACCCATTGTCTCTGTTCTTGTTTCTGTTTGTGACATAGGGCTTGTCAGTATTATTTCATAAAGCGTAACGTTCAGGGGCAATTAAAGGAATTCGTGCTTTTCGAAATATACCACAAGTATTTCATTTACTATTTGCAGATGATAGTCTAGTGTTCCTTAAGAATTCTGTTTCTGAGGAACAACATATTAAAGACATGTTAGGAATATATGAATCGTCCTCGGGATAGCGGATTAATCTTTCAAAATCTTTTATTTATTTTAGTCCAAACACCATAGAAGACCATCTTGCTCGAATGATGTAAATTTTCTATATTCAAGCAGTTGATTCTCTTGGTCATTACCTTGGCCTTCCGCTTTATATTAGGAAAAACAAAATGAGGACTTTTGGTTATCTACGTGATAAGGTTCTGACTAGGGTTACTGGTTCGACTAAATGGCTTTTATCCCAAGGAGGTTTGGAGGTGTTTCTTAAAGCTATCGCTCAATCATTACCTCAATATGCTATGTCTTGTTATCTGTTGCCAGAGCATCTTTTCAACAAGATTACTGGAATCATGGGTCGATTTTGGTGGATGGGGAAAATCTATGAACGAGGTTGGCCTCTCCTTGCATGGAATACTATCTGCAAACCTAAGCGGGTGGGTAGGCTAGGGTTCGTGACCTTTGATCTTTTAATTTAACAATGTTAAGCAAGAAAATTTGGAGGCTTATTAAGGTACCAGATTCATTGTTAGCCTGAGTGTTAAGTGCAAAGTACTTTCTTGATGTCAATGTGTTAAATGCTAAGATTGGAAACAACAACTCGTATGCTTGGAAAAGTCTTCATAAAGCTTACAGGCCCTATCGAATGTTTTCTTCTGGCGCTTTGGCTATAATAGTGATACCCGTGTGTTCAAGGATAGGTGGGGTAGTATTAGAGTAACTACGCTTGCAGGTACCTACGATTGCAACTTTGCAATGGAGGCACAATATGGAGACTTCATGATGCGTGATCGCCCTTGCTGTGATAAAATGAAGGTCATAGCTTTTTCCATCCTCAAGATACAGATAATGTGCTTCATGTGTTGATAGCTCCGTGTTTCCATGATAGCATTGTATGGAGCAATCATGTTTCCGATAACTATATCGTTCCCTCAACATATTGGTGGTTCCAAACTCCTACCCATTCTTCGGAAGCTGTGTCCACACTCTAGAAAACCATGGCCAAGTTGAAGACACTCCCTAAAGAACTCATTCTAGCATGGCGTTTAGTGCATGAAGCCTTGTCGGTGGGTTCTAGGGTCTGGGCGGCGGACATTAGCGATGGGTTATTCCCTCGTTACCGACTTGACATGGAAACAACTTTACATGTAGTACAAGATTGTAGTTTTTATAAGAAAGTGTTGCAGCTTACTGGTATACCAAGTACACTTATCAATTTAGTTTGTATTTCTCCTTTACTTTGGTTAGAAACGACAGTCGCTATGTTAGGTCTTGAGGCAGTCGTAGGTTTTCTAGTGATCCTATGGATGAAATTCGATTGTTCATGATGGACGGGTTCAACCTGCTTGAGTACTTGTAGCTAACGTTCAGGCACTTTATGGGGATACTGCTCAAAGTTCTGTCAACCGCCAAACTATCAGACCTTCTCACGGTGAGCAGTGGATACCGTCAAAATAAATACGGATGAAGCCTTTGACCCAATCTTTCGTATCGCGAATACGGGGGTCAATGCACGTGATGAGTGTTAAGCTGTT